AAATAATACTATAATTATTATTATATTATAATAATTGTTAAATATATTAATTATTAATATATATACATAATATATATAATATTATATATATATATAATAAAATATTAATAATTATTTGTCATATTTATTTATTATAAATTAATATATATTATTCGTTTATTGAATAATTTAATTGTTATTTATTGTAAATATATTCTTTCTCTAATCTCGCATTTAATCGATAAAAATAGTCATGCGGGTTGTTTGTTCATTCAATATTTCATTGTTTATCACTTTTAAGAGAGCGATAATCAATGATTACGATTTAAATTTACGTAGAATGTTAGATTAGTTTTTAACACGATAAATAGATGACAACATATTTCTTCTTTACATTAGAAAAACAACGTTCGTACGTCTTTTAAACGCAATAAACAAATGCATAATCAAAGTTACGAGTAAATAGAGAATCGTTCTCTTATATTTTTTCTTTCTTTTTCTTTTTCTTTTCGATTAAATCGTGATATACATAATTTGTGCATTAGAAATGAATCGACATTGTTCTATTGTTTGTTTGTTGTTTGTTTGTTTTGTTTAAACACACTTATTACGTTTTATACACAATGTTATTTCAAAATTTCTCATTAATTACGTTTTGAGATCGACAAAAGCACATTATTTATTTATTTATTTATTTATTTATTCATTCATTATTTCGAAGGAATAAATTATCATTATTTTCTTTCCTTCATTTTTTATTTTCCTTTCCTTTCTTTTGTTTTTTTTTTTTTTTTTTAGAAGAATCGTGTACGATATACTCTACGAGATTTATATTAAATTTTATTCTTTTCAATTTTATGTTTTCTAATAGTAAGATTCTTGTTGTTTTTCAATTAAATGAATTGTATTTAAAAAAAAAAAAAAAAATTAAAAGTCCTCTTTTTTTCTTTTTTTTTTTTTTTTAAATTAAACATAAATTTCTTTGATTTTGTTCTTTTTTTTTTTCTTTCTTTCTTTAGCTTTGACAGATAGATAGATAGATAGAGAGACAGAGAGAAAGAGATATAGATATAGATATATTATTCTAATTAATAAAGTTATACAATTAATATCATTTTTAAAATCATTTTTATCATCTACTTTATAATCTAGAAGCACTTGGATAAAATTGTACATTAACTGCACGATTTTATTTAAACGAAAATAAAATAAAAATTACAGTTAAAATAAGGTAAAATGAAAAAAAAAAAAAAATAAACGAAATGAAATGAAATGAAACGAAACGAAAAGAAATGCGAAATACAATTATTAAAAAGAAAAAAGAAAAAACAGTCTTACAATAGTACCATAATCCTTTGTACACATTATCATTTCTAAATTCAATAAGAGTCACATATGATAATACAGAAGATTACTTATATGTACTAGAACTATATATATATATATATAAATATATATATATATAGTTTTGTTTTTATTTGTTGATTTAACAACACAACACGAAATTTGTCTCCACGATAATACATTGGTATCTTGTTTTTTTTTTTGTTCTTTTTCTTTTTTTCTTTTTTTTTTTTATCAATAACATTATAATTAATAATAATAATAATAATAATAATAATAGGTAAAATGTTTTACTTTAATCCTGTTTGTTTGTTTGTTTGTTTTTTTTGTTTTTTTTTTGTTTTTTTTTTTTTAATAAGGAACGTCGAATATATTCATTATTATTTAAATCTAAGAGCTATATAAAAAAATGAGAAATAGAGAAGAAAAAAAAATAATCATAATAATAATAATAATAATATAATACTTCAAGTATATGTCTCATGATAAAAACAAAAAAAAATCTGAGATAGGCAAATACATTGTTCGTTAACAATAGACGTTGAGATATTGAAAAAAGAGATAAAGTCAGTTTTACTACTTTGTATCATCAATATTCTTAGATTTACTTCTTTTCTTGCGTTCTTTTGGTTGATCAAATTTGTCGTTAGTTCCTAAACCTAGAATAAACAAAACAACAACAAAAAAAGAAACATTATATTTTTATATTAATAAAATCAACTTATCAATTAATATGAGTTATTATTATCAATATAGTTTCTCTAATAAATAATCAAACAAAACTATTACACACAGGAGTATTCGTATCAGCTTTCAAATGATCAATTTAAAATAATTTCTTTTATTTCCTACTAGTAATGCAAAAGTAATCTAAATTTCTTTACACAGAAAAATTTAATAAACCTAAAATATGTCTTTATGAATAAGGAATTTCAATTTAAAAATATATATATTGTATTAGGAGAAACACATTGAACAAATTATATAATAAAATAATATATAAAAAATAATAATTATAATAATAATAAATAATAATTACAATAACAATAATAAATAAAATAATATATATATATAAATAATAAATAATTATATAAATAAATAAATAAATAAAAATCTATTGAAATTAATAATAATTCTCCTAATAATAAATAATATATTTAATTATGATAAATACATAATATTGAGATTATTTTAATTATTTTAAATATAATAACACAGAAAAGAGAGTAAGAATACTCCTCCTGTGACTTACCTTACATTTCATTCGAACTAATTTAACTTACGTTTTAATTTTGCTACTCGAGAACGCGTTACACGTGGTGTATCACCAGATATATTGGATCTAAGTGAATCTTCAATCGAAACACCCAAAGATACTGCTGATCTTTTTTTCAAGCGTACAACAACTTCTTCCATCGCTGGAGTCATCCACTTTGTTCTTATATCACTGCTACTTTAAAAAAAAAACGTGTGTATGTTAGTATATATACATATATATATTAGTATGATTATCAAATTGATTTCTAATTAAACAAAAAATAAAACAATATTAATTATATACTTACTCTATCGATCGTGGTTTATGTTTAAACGATCCTGATTGTTTCTCTTTCATTTTACGTATAACATCTAACATCGCATAAGTAGGTAATGATGGAATTGGTGATGAAATTGGTGATGGCGGTGGTGATGGTGGCGGTGTCAAAGTAGTCGGTGGTGTTTGTATATTAATTTTGGCTAATCTGTCAGGATGAAATGCCAATACTTCCTCCCAACAGAATTTTTTTGGTTGACTTTTCGATTGTGTATTTCTAGTTATCCGAATCTGAAATTAATATTTTGGAAATATTCTATGCAATTAACATATATATTACATATTATTTATAATTATAATTAGAAATATGGCTATCAAGAAATGTACGTATTAATAATTAAATAGTATAATAGTCTTATATTATTAATATATTTGAATTACCTCGCCATTTACTGGTCTACATGGTTTACGTTCTCTTAAGTAGGGTCGTTTAATCGACGTGGCACAAGTATTCTCATTAGATTCTTGAATGTTGTTGAAGAGACATGTAGGAACACATCTTTCTTGATTCGTACCAAATTGAAATAAACTTCTTAAATATGAATAATTTGGTTTGCTTTCAAAGCTTAATTCTGTGATGTACTTCATATATTCCATTAGGGCAGCTGTTTGTAAAAAGAAAATATATATATATATATATATATATATATATATATATATATATTATACATATGAAAATATGTCTGAATAATTATTATAGAAATAATAAAATGAATAAAAGAAAAAACCAATTATTTACGTGGATAATTTTTTCTATTTGCGAAACATTTCTCCATGAATAGAGGTAAATTCGATAATAAAGCTTCCTTTTCGGCATGAACTTCTTCTGGATTAATAGTTACAGATAAATCATTATTATCTTTCTCCCATGGTAGTTTACCACACGTCCATTGTATTAAATTATATCCTAATGTTTCAAGATCTCCTCTTCTCGAATGTGCTGAAAATAGATTAACAAATTATTGGGTTAGCAAGAAAGTAATTTCGGCAGTAAGTAAATATATATAATTATAAATATTATATAATAAATAAATATTAGTATTATTAATTATAATTATAATAGTAATATAGTATATATATATATATTATAAATTAAAATTATAAAATAATATATTATAAAATATTTATAAAATTATATATATTATAAATATATTATAAAATAATATAAGTATTTTATTATAATATATTTATTCATAATATAAATCTATATTTATATTTACATTATTTATAATAATTATATTATTATATTTATTAATATATATATAATATTAATATATAATAAAAATAATTATTATTATAATATATATTAATTAATAATATTATTTTTTTTATTTTAATTAATGTACATATTTGTGTACATTAATTAATATATTAATTAATATATATATTAATATATATACATACTTCCATGATGTGCATCACGTGATGTAAATTCTAATGTTCCTTCGTGTGCTCTTCTTTCATCATGGACAAATGGTTTATGGATTCCTGCTGTTGTCCTAAAGCGATAAGCTAATCCATAATCAACCAAGTATGCTTGCGATTTTTCTCTTACTACAGAATCGTCATAAGGTGCTAATAAAATATTAGGTCCTTTAATATCTGCATGAGCATATCCATGACTGTGAATATATTCTAATGCGTCCAGCTGTATAAAGTTTAATTAAAATATAAAGACAGATATACAGAGATATTTACATTCATATAATACCAAAAAAAAAAAAAAATAATAATAATAATAATAACATATTATCTCCTCACCATTTGTACAGCTAAATTATTAACAAGTTTATTTGGTAATTTTCTGTTGTTTGATATAAACAATTTACCAATATCTATCCCATATCTTGGTATTACTAAAAATCTGTAACGTTGTCCGTTATAAATGTGAGAACCAGATCCTTCATAAGTTGGTACACCTATTCTTCTTTTTCTTTGTGTTTTACACCAACTTTCAACTATATAACAAATGATTCAAATAAAATGTTATTTAATAATGTGTATAATGTATATTTTTTCACATTTAAAATATTATTATAATAATAATAGCAATATCAAATTACTACTAACTCATATGTTTTCTTGATGCACGTATGTAAAAGTTCATTTCGACAAACAAAGGTCCATTGTTATGAGGTTCAATTTTAATAACGTATTGTGCATCGTCTCCAACTGGGGAAGTTATATCTTTGGAAGCTACAAACAAATATATACAATGTTTTTATTAATTAATACAAATTTCAAAGTTATTTTAATACATTGGACTATAATTTAACGCATACAGTTGTGTATCATATTTTCTTTATCTGTTTGATCTGTAAAATTTGTCACAAGTAGGACTAATGTTTTTCATATTTGGTTTGTAAAGTGAATCATTAGTCTTGTTCTTATAACATAAGAAATTAATTAACCCTTTGAATGTTGAATACTCATAGTCTCAAAGTACTTTATAGAAATGAATCAATAAATTGTTTAACAAATTAAACAATTGTTATTGTCTCAAATGAAATTAACATAAGACTTTACAAAATTATTCATACACAAAATAATATTGCATTATTTGTATTTATATTAACAATCAACAAATGTATGTATGTATGTATTTGCATAACATTTTTAAATGGTTACAAATGTTTCATTATAAATTTCATACCTAGATATATATCACCAAATCCACCATATCCAATACTTGTACCAAGTCTCCATTTGTTCTGTGTAACATCTGTGAGAATTTCATCGGCCGGTAATTTAGCTGGCAATCTGCAGCCTGGAGCTGCAATTCTTTTAGGCAGATCATCTCGACCCGGTGCCATTTTTACTGTTTGTTTGCAGAGAGAGATTAACATTCAATTTATTTATTTGTTTGTTTGATTTTTCTTTTTTTTTTTTTTTTTATTATATACAAAGCTATTTATCAAATATGTAATTGTATGTAGAGATGTTTACTGTAAGGATAAAAAAACTAACGTCATATTAACGAATTAATGAAATATGTGTATATATATATGTATATATGTATATATACAAAATTTGTATATAAAATGTACAAATAAATAAAATAGTCCTTTTATAAATGAAAATATAAATAATATTATTCGTGAAACATGTAATTAAAATCATCGATGATCGTTAAATCTGTAAAAATGATTTTACAAAATATATATATATATATATAAAATATCTTTTATATTTATTAAATGTAACTAAATTCATAGTAAAAGATTTCAACTATGCGTACTTACATTGTTTACTTATTTATTAACGATATATTTTGTATTGGATAATGTAAACTAACATAACACTATCAATTATTTTTTATCTATTTAATAAAAAGATTGACTGAGATATAAGCGAGAATAATATTTCAATATAATAAGCAGTTGAGAAAATTCTTCAAACGATCGATATTATATTATTTTTCACGTTTTAATGATATAAATATAAACTAATGTATATAAATATCGAAATGGAAAGTTGATTTCTTCGAGTGAGTAAAAGAGATTCACTGAGATTGTTTGAAAATAAATGAGAAATAATATCACTTGCTCTTTATCTTGCCAATGATATTTCATTCATTTTCGTCAAGAAAAATGAAATTTTACACGAGATTCTCTCGTTACTATACTAATTATTATTTAAACCATTAAATATAAACTTTGTTGTCTTTTTACTATAACGGCTTAACGTTAATGTACGCCATTCAACTTTATAATGCACTGCACTGCCATTTCATGAACCAAAGTACAAAGTATAACATAGAGAAGAAACTCAATATGGCCGTTGCTGTACTGAAACGCCATCTGTAGGAATTAAAGGAAACTCAATATGGCNGAAACTCAATATGGCCGTTGCTGTACTGAAACGCCATCTGTAGGAATTAAAGGAAACTCAATATGGCTGTTGCTAACATGGTTCCAAGTGTAATTTTATTAACAACTTTAAGAAGATTTCCAAGTTATTTCCATAAAAGTAAATGTTGACATTGTAACTGTAAATTGAAAAAGTGCATTGTAAAAATGAAGATTGAGAAATTTTGTTTATAACTAATAGGAACATCTAAGTATATATAGTATATAATATAAGTATATTGAAGATTTTGGAGAAATCACTGATCAAATGTATATTATTAAGGAATATTAATTATTATTATTATTATTGTAATTTGTCGTGTAAAAGAATTGACGATGGCACTGGCATCAAAGGAACTAACCAAACTATTGGATATTCTTGATGAAGAAAATATTGACACTAGCCTAGAAAATCTTTGCAGTCAGCTTCATCAAATATTTTCTAAGGAAGATCGTTTTAAAGTTGGAATGACATTACTTCTTTTACTGCAGCACGTTGATTTGTTATCAAAACATGGTCAACGAATAATGGCCTTAACAATGTTATTCGACTTGTACAAAGGAGAGCCATTAGCTTCTACGCCTTTCGCTACAGTATTTGTTCAAATGTTAAAGCCTCAAGAAGATACTAATAATGGTGTTTTGTTAAATAACTGCTCAGGACAGATGCCTGTACTTTCTGAATGTGAGAAAAATTTACTTATTAATTTGTTAGGATATAATCAGAAAGAAGTGATGAAGAAGACACCACGTCAATTAGTTGTCGACGATCTCTATTTGGCATCGATACCTTCTATAGATTTAACCAACTTGCAGTTGCAACTTGCTGAATATCATTCTGAACTTCCATCCATAAGCAAATGCGGCAATCCAATAATATTGTCAGATATGGATCATTCTAAGATAACTGCAACGGATAAAAAGATATTGAGAAATATGGCAGAAAATCTTATTGTCGGAGACCCACCATTGTGCGCTCAAAGTTATAGTCCTGAATTTTTAAGGTTGGCTCCGCCAATATTTCATTCTATTAATGAATTAACATGGTATAATATGACCGATCCTTCTGAATTCACTGTCGAATACGATAACAGTATGTGCGTTTCTTATTGTGCCGGAGCAGAGGCACGCAGATTAATGGGCAAAGCTTTTAAAAGTGTCTTGACCCTGCAACAACAACAACATTTGGTTAATGAATTAGATAGGGATCCTAAATTGGTTTATCATATAGGACTTACGCCTGGAAAATTGCCAGATTTAGTTGAAAACAATCCATTAATTGCTATCGAAGTTTTATTAAAACTTATGCAATCTAGCCAAATAACGGAATACTTCAGTGTCCTGGTAAACATGGAAATGTCTCTTCATTCTATGGAAGTTGTTAATAGATTGACAACTACTGTAGATTTGCCAACTGAATTTGTTCATTTATATATTAGCAATTGTATATCCACCTGTGAGACTATAAAGGATCGTTACATGCAAAATCGCTTAGTACGTTTAGTTTGTGTATTTCTTCAATCATTAATTAGAAACAAAATCATTAATGTTCAAGAGTTATTCATCGAGGTGCAAGCATTTTGTATTGAATTTAGTCGTATTAGAGAAGCAGCTGCATTATTTCGTCTTTTGAAACAACTTGAATCGGGTGATATCGGTGGATTAAATGCACCTCCTGCAAAGAGCAAAATAGATATGTGTTAAGAAGTATGTTATTTTGAAGAACTATGTATATAAATCATGTTTTTTCAGAGATATGTTTAAGAGTTAGCATATTCACAACATTATTTCAATTTACAGCAAGAGAAAGAAAGCACAAATCTATACAATTATATTTATTATACTTCCTTTCCTCGAGCAATCAATACTTATCTATCGTATTGTCATTAATTAAATTTCATATATTTTTATTTAATCGTGTGAACAAAATGTCCTAAATAAAGAAAAAAGGAAGAAATAGCTCTATTTTCTAGTGGCAGCATATCAGTTAGATGTTTATTTCATATATTATTCTCTATCACCCAAAAATGAATAATGTACAAAATACATATGTGCCATTATATAACAATCAATCATGTTCAATGAAAACAAAGTGTACACTCTTCTTAGAGACAAATAGTAATTATATTACTGTTTGTAATTTTGTCTTAGTTGTATATTATTAAATAATAGATATCTTTATATTACTTGCGCGGTGTGTGTGTATATGTGTGTTTGTGGGTATGTATATGTATATATGGCTTAAAGTAATAATTTAAATTAATTGTATAGCTTAAATTGTTCTTTTAGACAATTTTTTTTTTTTTTTTTTTAGATACATAAAATGTACAATAATATTTTGAACATATTGAGAAATTTATGTTTTTACACTGAGGATACTTATGATATACTTATGATAAAATAAATTTTCAGAAAAAACACCTATTATGTTTTTTAAAACTCGTAACCATGAAAAGTACACAATTAAAGATCTTTTCTTTTTTCTTTTGTTTCAACAAAGATAATAATATTAATTTAAGATACAATAATATTTATCGTATATATATATACGTATATAAAGATAAATAATTATCACAAACTTATATAGCTAATCAGATTGATTATTTTTCTAAAAATGCATATTGTATGTATACATTTACAATGTTATTTCTTACATATAATGAAGGAAATAAAAGAGAAAACAAAAAATGAATAACAGTAGTATTAATCCTTTGACTATGGAGAACTTAGAAACAAAACTTAACAATAATAATTTTGCATTGGGAGTCGTCTATAGGTGCTGTTGTTGTTGTTGTTGTTCACAGTCAAATGATTAAATAAGTGTTACAGAGGTAATTACATTTTGCATCGAGCTCATTTTTATAAATCTTATTTATTTGTATTTTTATATACACATTAGCATAATTGTTTTCTTTTTTTTTTCTTTTTATCAATGTTCTATTATTTTTTTTGTTCACATTAGACTTATGTTAGTATTATAAAAGTTGACTGAGTGAGATGATGGCATTACATAGAATATTATGTAATACTTATTTTTCTTATTTCGTTTTGTTTTCTTTTTTCATAAATTAATGTGATTTGAAGAAGGTTGTGCAAATTCGTTGCTGCAATGTAGGTAAGAAAAGATATATGTATACCTTGCTTTGTTATTTATCTTCTCAGTCATATAAAATTACAAACAAATCAACATATACTATTTCTTTTGTATTGAAGTGTTAATATAACTTGGATATTTAATTAAAATACCTTTTCATTAATGATATCAATTCTTTTTTTTTTTGTTTTCTTTTTCTTTTTTTCTTTCAAAATATGTGAAATGTTCATAAAAATAATGTTGTTACGTATATCATCAAACAATTTTATAATTCACTTCATTCTGCGAATTTTTCATTATCCTTTCATAAATCATAAAATTAGCTAAAATATCGAAACATTTCACATATTATGGATCCCCATATATATATAATTTCTTCAATCAATATTTATTCTCTGTTGATTTATTCTATTTATATAACAATTTTTCCTATATCCATTCTTGGACTCTTTTATTTTACACGTGTGTTTAAATTTTATGTTACATATTTTACTCTTATATTAATTAACCAGTCTGAAATAGAATTTAATAAATTCCATTCCTTGTAAGTGCCTATTTAATAAACAATCGTAATATCATGAAAACTCTTCGTACTTTGTACAAAATATTTGATGCATTTTTAAATATATATATATATATATATTTATATGTATTACTATGAAAGATCGTAATTGGTTACTTGGTGTTTGTTCAAAATATCAATGTATAAGAATAAACCCAATATATTGAGACATTTCACAGTGCGAATTTAGACATTCTCCAATTTCAGTCTTTCATGGTAACATATATATGTTTGCGTGTAGATTATAACAAAAAGCTAATAATATAAAATAAGTTATCTAAGCTTTATATGTGTGTTCAGATTTGATACATATATATATATATATATATATATGCGCACACTTCTTTTCTTATTCAAAATACATTAACAAACAATTTTATAAATGATAAGTAACAATATTGTATATATTACTTTGCAAATATTTCTATTGTATAATTGTAAATACATTGAAGATAGATAAATCATAAAAACTATTATAACATTTGATGATTCTAAATAAGAAAAAGAAAAGTACTTACGAAGAGTTATTATGAAAATGAAATTTAAAAAGGAAAAAAATATTCAATTGATCTTTTTTTTTAATAATAAATATGTCATTTGTTAACTATTATTTTTTTTTTTTGGACAAATTTCTACTATTTCATTATTATTTTCAGTTTAATTGAATTGCACCATCTTTTGTTGTTTTTTTATTTTTCTTCTTAATAGCCTTGGCTTTATTAATTAAAGTTTTAGTTCCTTTTCCTTTAGCCGTTATGGGCTTACCTTTAAGAGATTTCATTTGCATTTTTACATCTGTTTTAGACACTTTTTTACTTTTTAAACCTTTCAGTTTATTCTCTTTCAATTTAACTTTGGTACTAGTTGCGACAGTCATACCGGACCTCACGGAAGATCCGGTTAGCTTATACTAGGCTGCCGTTTTCACTTTTTTCTTCCTTTTCTTCTTTTTCTTATCATGATAAAGCTCCTGTTTTTTGGTAATGCAAGATCTACAATACCAATTTTCATTTGCAGCTGGTTCCACTTGTAGTCCCACACATACCCTACAACGTATGTATGAACGTATTAAAGCGATGTATATATATATATATATATATTTTATATACGATTACTTACCAATGATACCATGCATCACAATCATCACAACCAATCATGGGTGATCCATCGTCCTGCTGTTTACAACCAGGACATATCCACACTTGACGACCTCCTTGATCCTGTAAAACTCATTGCATGACAGTAAAGAAACTTCAAATAAACATAAGATAACCCAACCCATCTCTTGGAGATGCAATTATAAATGTTCAATATAAAAATAATGAAAACATTTAATGACCAGTTATACGTTTTAAGATATTCATTCTCTTATGGAATAGAATTAGTGTCGTGTTCATTGTGTACTGTTTTTATTATTCAATATATTATCTTTTTATCTAAAGAATTATATTTGTTAGTTAAAATGTGCTTCAGATACATATATATATATATGATGATAACAGTTGATTTAAATGAAGGATGAAATGATAGATGATGATATGTAATCAGGTTTATCACTTGTCTCTTCTTTTTAATTATTAATAACTTAAATAGCATGAGAAATCAGAGGTAATAATATAATTACTTAACAACAGTTAACAGTTTTTATCCTCGTTAGAATTACTAAAATCAATGACTATTCATTTTTCTTTGTTTTTTTTTTTTTCGTTTAAATGTAATTTCTCTTCATAAAAAAAAAATGCTTTAATAAGTTCTTTTCTCTTTGTTATACCTAACTTATATTATTTAGATAATATAATATTTCTGTAATATTATACGTGTTCCTTGTCTTATTTGAAATATATCAGTGTATCATAATGTATGATATATATATATAATATATTATTTATATAAAAATTATCGAGCACATCATACTTCTAGTGCATAACAAACATTGCAAGAGCTGTTTTAAAATGTGAGTGAATGTACTCACCACAGTAGTGGTTGCTATTGTAGCCAACAAGAGACTGCCATTTTCTTTGTCTTCTTTAGCATCATCCTTATTAGAAACCGCATCTGCTTTCACCTCTGTGTTGTTAAAACCGTCGGTTATATTCCTAACTGTCTTTCATGCTAATTTATATAATATCATACAAGCCGCATGCAACGCAAAACAACTGGCTAACTATATTTAATTAATATCAATATTTCCTTATATATGTATATATATATATCCTATTATACATTGTAATAATTTTTGTTACTGTAAATTTGCTCTTATTGTTTTATACATTTTCTATTCTTCATACTATATTATAAATCTATTTAATACATGCTAGCTATATATTATTTTTAAATGAAATGACAAATTTAAAACACTCTGTGAAAAGCTTTCGATTTGCTCTCTTGTTTCTAAAACATAAATAATTTGCTATACGATGCATTATAAGGCAGCCCTTTCTTAAGTAAAGAAACAGAGAGTTATAACAATCATGCACATTGTATTACAAAAGATACTATTATTATACTGCATATAAAGTATTGTGTGAAAGCATTCAGTGAGATTTGCAGAAACTAATGATCAAACTAAGTTAGAAATTTGAAAGACATACTCATACCATCCCTAAGTAGAATATAAGTAAGGTATGAACAATTGTATGTAAAGTGCTACACTAAAATATAAATAAGTTGTACCTATCTATATATGTATATTATTGGCTATGAAAGTGTGCATTTGTATATAAATAAGAAGAATTTCAATTATTATAAAAATGTATGTTTAGCACAAAGAGTGATCGAAATTTTCTCAACAACTATACTGTGAAAAAATGACAAACACTCTGTATACATAGATGTATAAATACGCATAATTTTGTTACAATGTAACTATAAATCCAAAAAAAACAGACAAAATGAGAAATTAGTTTAATCGAAGTTAACAAGTAAACTTACATATTCGTGTGATTGAAAATATGTTATAAACGCGATAAAAAAAAAATTGTCAACATTAATAAGACGAAGGAACTGTAGATATCTCTTATTATTATTTTTTTTTTTTTTATATGAATTTATTTTATTTTTGACTAATAGAAGAAGAGACAAGTATAGACTGTGCTAAATGTTTCGATATCAAATTGTAGATGCAATGAAATATATGATGATATATAGATGAGAGGATATTGAATGTTGAATAATGATTCAAAATAGTTTTGTATACCTTCCATTTAGGTGAATGTTTGACTTATTACCTAAAATTCTGTCTATTCTGTTAATAAATAATTGTTTCTATTAGATAGAAATGAGTTAATATGAATAATAATATAGCAATCAATTGTACACAAGACACACCTAACATTAAATTTACTAGAAAATCAAAATAATAAATAAATAAATAAATAAAAAGAATAATCGTGACATAAGATTATATTACTTTTGTTGTACTCTACTATACAAAAAAGAAGATAAGACCAGAAAAAAAAAAAAAAAAGAAGTGAAAAAACTTGAACAAAAGTTTTACCAAAATAAAATGTATACGTGAAAGTATATAAATATTTGTTGAAATAAATAAATAAAATATAAATTTGAAAGAAGAATCACATAAAATAGCAACATACATACAAAATACGTAATGAGAATCTATAGAGAAAAAGACTATAATATATTCTACGTTTATATTTTGAAACAATGTCCATAGTGTGACAAAAGCATGACCAAATGAGAAATTATACCTTCACCACAAGTCATAAATGCATAGAAAAGGAGAAAGAGAAAGAGAAAGAGAAAGAGAGAGAGAGTGATATAGAAAGTAAGAGGAATATATAGGAAATTTGGAATTTATTTTAAGATTGAGATAATATTGATGGGTTGGGTTAATTTTTCCACGTAAATCAAATTTTGTAATGATTTAACTTATTATTAAGTATGGAGACATAGAATATCATTTTCTTTTTTTTTTTTTTTTTCATTAATAAAATTATCAAATATTTTTAGAGAAATAAAATAAATAAAAATAATCTTCGTATTAAATTTAATCATAATTTTGAAGAAAATCTTGACTTCTGTTTATGTTTAATTAATTAATAAACTCTTGTGTTTTTATCATGTCTCACATACTAAATATTGTTTATATATAAATTATATCATTTCTTTTTCTTGTTTTTTTTTTCTTTTTTAATATTGATATTCAAATATCATAATGAGCGTACTTACGTAGTAAAATGGCGGTGATTGCTGTTGCGTAATTAAAGGACTTGGAAGTTTAGGAGTTGGATCAAAGTGAGGCGGAGGTGTTGGCTCTCTTTGGGGTAAGTTTTTAAACAAAGATTTCTTTGCTCGAGGAACTGTTGCAAGTGGCACAGTAGAAAAATTGAGAGAGAAAGAAGAATCTGTAGGAAGGGCAGGGCTGCCATCTAATGTTCCCTCCTCTATTTTCTTACTTGCTGACTTTTGCTTCGGCGGTCTTGTTACCAATGCTGATATTTTGGCCAATTCTGGACTAGGTTCTCTTTTCGTATCCTCATCTGGTTTTTTCAATAATGGCTTAATCGTTCTACAATTAAATAATTCAAACATGTTACACATGTATTATTGTAATAAATAATATACATAGACAATTGAATATTATTTTGTAACTTACATCTTCTTCATTAGCATACTGTCTGGCGTTGGTGGTCTTGGAGATGCAGGTCCCAATTTTAATGTAATTTTTGGTACAGCTTCTGCACTTTTATCTTCTTTCTGTTGAAAATAATACAATTTATATTATAGTAAGATAATTTTAAGTTATTGCACTAATCTATATATATATATAAAATGTAATAATATTAAATGCATTTCTCTTACTTCCTTCTCTTTTCGTTTCTCTTTTTTCTCCTTCTTTTCTTTGATTTTGTCTACTTTTTCCTTTTTATCAGTTTTCTCTTTTTTCTCTTTAACCTTTTCTCCTTTTTCTTTATGTTTCTCTTTTTTGTCTTTCTTTTTCTTCAATTTCTCTTTCTTTTCTTTTTTATGCTCTTTTGATTTCTGAAAATTAAATAATATGTATCATTTCTAAAATATGATTATAAGATTAAAATATATTATTTGAAATTAAAAAATAATGAATATAGGAATAGTAGAATGATATTCTACAATTTCTATACTATTTCAATACACACCAATTTAATTGTTACCTTATCAACTTTATCTGCTTTATCAATTTTAGATTTCTTTGAAGGTAACAATGGCACAACAGGTACTGGTGGTGCAATGGGTGGTGGTACATTTGGTGCAACAGGTGCAGAAACAATGGGCGGTGCAATTATATTTCCAGGAATATGAGTGATTATTTCTTTATCTTGTTTAACCACCTTAATTTTATCTGCCTTTTCCTTTTCTATCGAATCATATTTCATAATAGGTACCATAGGAGGTATTATTTCCCTAGGTGATTTTTCACATTCCATGGGTTTTATTTTTGATAATGAAAAATCTTCTGGCTTTATTGCTGGATTAAAAAAACGAGGTGGTAAAGGTAAATTCGGCATTGCTGGATGTGGGCCTGGTCCACCTCTTCCCAAAGGAGGCAACGGAAACCTTGGAAATATTGGATGTGTTATTGGGGGAGGTATTAAACCAGGAGCGGATGGAAATGCTGGAAAAAATGGAAACGGTAATGTTGGTGGAAGAGCTGGTTCTCTATGCACCGGTGGTTCAGGTGCTTGTGGAGTTTTTGGTCTATCCATTACATCTACTTCAACTGTATCATTAGAAATCTTTGTCTGAAATATAATAATGTTACTCATTATTTTGTCAATTGTTCTCCTCTTGTAAATACATACAAAAATATTGATAGATAGATTTAAAATTACCTTTTTGGGACTAACACAACGCTTAGGACTTCTCATTTTGGATTCTTTCTTTTTATTACTTTTCTCCTTCTTTTTCTTTTTCTGATCAATAGGAGTAGGGACATTGAGTTCTGGAGTTTTAGGTGTACTAGGAGTCCCAGGAGGTGACATATCGTCAAACATATATACATCTGAAGATGGACTCTGTATATCAATCAAATCATTCTCTGGATGAACGTGAACGTCTGGTGTGTGTGGTGTTTTCTTCTCTTCCTTTTTAACTTCAATGTCATTTTTATGCGCATGCTTTTCAAGATTTTCATCAATGATTAAACCAGGTGAACTCTCTCGCGAATCAAGCTCTTTATGTTTGTGTTGTTCTGGTATTTCCTTTTCTTTGTCTTCTCTAGGTTTAGATATCTTTTTGAATATATTTAATTTTTGCTTATCAGGTTCTGATGGTAGTTTATCAATGTTATCATCTTTCCTTTCTGGTAATGGTGGACTACTCGTTAAATCTATTACTTTTTCCGATTTAGCCTTAACTTGGATAGGTTTAGGCAATTTAGGACTACCCGTAGGTTTAGTTGGTACTAACTTTGGAGTAGGTGGTCTATTTGAAGGACCTGCTAAGTTAGTTTGCGATTTACCACCGCCTGGCTTTAACGGTTTTAATTTAGCCAACTCTTTCATACCAGCTAACTTTTTAATTTTAGTCTCATCGATTTTATCCGGCTTAAACAATTCCTTAGCTTTGTTTTTCTTTTTATTTTCTTTGTCAAGTTTACGATCCTCCGGTATCTTCTTGATGATCTTCTTTGGTTTTTTATCACATTTCAACTCAGGTGGAACCATAGGATAAGAACTTGGTTGAGGGGAATCTGTGCACGTTTGATGCGGTGTTCTCGCTTCTGGAAGTTTCCCTTCTCGCGCGGGTGATAAAAAACCAGACGTGGTCATCATTACACTGTGTATCTCACGTAATGGTCTACCTTCCTCTAATACCTTAGCACGTTTTGCTATAGGACTTTCAAAAGAGACAGGATCTCCTGGTCGTTTAAAAACTACTTGCGGAGACGTCCTATGAGGAGAAACATCAACTGAACTCGGTGTCGATGTTCCATTTGAAGATGATAAATCTTGTACACCGTTTGTTAAACTTTCAGGCTTCTCTGTTATGTACTCATCTGTAATTACAATTTTTTTTATTTAAAACACTTTGTTATTATATATTTGTTTAAATACAATATATTATAGTTTAAGACAAATAGTAGGAATTATAATTACCTTCAGTATCTGGATACATAGCCGGTAAATGTTCATGAATATGTACAGGTCTAGTAACTACTTCACGACTACCAGGCTTTAAGAAATTTAAATGATTCTCACGTTTGACAGGAAATTTTGGTACATTGATAACACACGGAACTGAATCTACATTTTTAACATATTCTGCTAATTCTTGTATATCAATATTCATATGTTTGAAAGCTAATCCTAAATCATCAAGATTAGGTTCCGTTCTTCCCACTGAAAATAATATGTATGTAAACATCCAAAAGATTATTAAGTATCATATTAATGAAACGCATTTAGTTTAATGATTCCTAGGACTCAAACAATTAAATTACAAATTCAAATTGTATTAAAAAGATGAGATGATTTGAGGTTAAAAATGACTTACAAACTTCTGCATATTGGTGGGTAACTTTTGATAAATGCAAGATATATTCTTCCATAAGATCTACCAAAAATTCTAACGGCGTTGAATTAATTGAATGCCATCCGATGGTTTGGCAGATTTGTGCTACAACCATCCTTAAAACGGATCTACTGTAATCAGTAGACATTTTCACAGCTGAAAATATAAAGATAACAAATAAATAATATATATATATATGAACAAGACGAAATTAAGGAATACTTAAGAAATTAAAATGGTATAGGCGCGCGCGCGCGCGCGCTCTCCTATATAGGTTATACGATGGAAGATAATAAAAAAAAAAAAAAAAGAAATAATCTTAGATGTATTTGATTTGGATAATATGAAAATATTTGAAATTATATGTTATCTCGACTATAATAATGATGATTTACCCTTGTTCGAAACAGAAACACCTTGATAAATGAACTTATTCTTGTTGATATTTTAGAAGCAATTTGAAATAATCACATTTCTAACGTTAACGTCTTAATCAGAAATAAAACAAATAGGGATAATGACTTAAATGAAATTAATCATTATTCGTCATTAAAAGGATCACAACACTTCCTAAAAGTGTAACACCATAAACAGTAGAGAGACTGCGAGGCGTCCACGCCATTTTTTTCCCCTTCTTCCTTGTCCATGCTCAAGACATTCCACGGTGAGCGTATAGAGTCCACTGATAATGGAAATTCGTCAAAGTAAACTTAAAGGAGATCAAAGTACATTTCGTACGATTAAATTTTGAAAGAATATCATCTTTCTTTCGTAAATCTATTATATTAATTAACACTAACATTCTTTTCCTCTCGTTTGACGCATTGTAAGGGAATATCAATTGAATTAAAAAAAAAAAAAAAAGAAGAAAAGAAAAAGAAGATATAAAAAGAGAGAGAGAGAGAGAGAGAGAAAAAAAGGAACTAAACTTCGATCCTCGTCAGTCGCTCGAATATCCCTGCGTTCCCATTGGCCGAGAATGAAGAATACTTTCCATTCACGTAGGTGGCCATTTTGAATTTCGTAAAAAAAAAAGAAACAAAAAATGAAATGTAATTGAATGAATATTGTTTTTGTTGTTGTTATTTTTGTAAATGTTTATAATTGGAAATATTAATATAAATCTTTTAGTAATGAATTATTAACCTTACTTTTGGCGTTGCAAGCGTTTCGAAATTGATTTAGAAATGATCTCTCTTTATGTTTCGTAGTTCATGATTTAAGAATCTATATATACTAAATAAAAAGATTGAGAAAGATTAGTTGAAAACGTATCTTATATAGAAGTGATCTCAGTCTTTAAAGTTCACAAGCCATTTTGTACGTTGTTAAAACCAGCTGTGCAAAAATATATAACTTAATCATATTTCAGTGAAATGTCAAAGCGTGATAATCTATAAATTAGGGCGAAGAGGAAAATGTGTGCCACATGCGTATGCGTTTATAAAAAAGAGATCAGATTGTAATGCCATAACATCGAAAGGATTCGCGAAAATTGAGATTATTTCGCGAGACAAAGAACACTAATCTTTGATATCTTTTATTAACCTTGGCTTGGACGTCATAATAGTGAGTATTGTTGAAGAATAAAGTTATAAATAGTTTGGTTTAGCAAAAATCACGTGGTACTACAGACGATGCTGAAATATACTCAGATATATATATATGTGTTTATAATGTTATTCATCTATCTATTGAACAATTGGTAAATGCCTATTTTGATATAGTTTAACATCTTGTAATATTTAATTTAAACAATTACGCTTCTACTTTGAAAGTAATGCGTAGGTTATTATATGTAAGCATATTTCCCCTGAATTTCCTTCCTTTTCCTCTTCCCTCTCCCTTTTTTTTTTACCATCTCATTGGCCTAATTTATATAAACAACCTTTTTATTTAAAAACAAATAGGAATTAAGTGTTACGAGAAATATCTGGTAAAACAAAGAAAATATCAATGCAACGTGAGATAAGTTTCTTTTTATCAGCTGATAATTACGACTTCGTGTATAGGGGAGCTTTTGTTAAGGATTTATAAACGTTTTTTATTAAAGTAACTGATTGAATGATTATAAACGAAATGGAATGATATGGAATATAAACATACACGTGTGTATAAATAAACACGTGATTGATGTGCGATATACATATATGTATGTATACATAAATAATTGATTTGATTTTAGTATATTATCTTACGTGAAATTTTGATTAATAATAGGATATTAGATGTCTCTTTTTGTGTGTGTGTGTTGTAAAATTAATTATTTATAATATTATTCTTCGTCGTTTCAATGCAGGAGATATATGTATTAGGCGTATTACATAATTTATAAACTTACGCCAAGATTATATTTGGCTAAATAAAATAATGAATATTTAAATGTTTCAGTATTCTTCCTCTGGTAACATAAAGTATGCAAGATGAGTGGGGATAATATTCAAAGTCATTCCGATCAGAATATGGAAACGATAGAGTTATCAGAGTTGCCTGTCTTTCCCAAAATGGTTAAATCATGCGTTAAAGTATGGATGGAAAAAATGAATAAAGGTGTACTTTCGCTAACTCACTTTAAAGAACATTGGAGAATTTGGGTTCCTAAGATTTACAGTCCTGAACCTAATGGCAATTGTTTGGATTGGAGTTTTGACGAAGAGAAAGCACAAAAAGTACTTTACAATACGTTAGAAGAATTCATTTGCAACGATGATCCGCAAGTTGTATTGAAACAACTCAGTCAAATGGATAACCCTCCGTCCATATGTGGTAAAGTATTTAAAATGGGTGAACCGACATACAGTTGCAGAGAATGTGGTATGGATTCTACATGTGTTTTGTGCGTTGACTGTTTCAAACAGTCTGCTCATCGTAATCATAAATATAAAATGGGAACTTCGAATGGTGGAGGTTGCTGTGATTGTGGTGATACGGAAGCATGGAAAAATGAACCATTTTGTAAGATACACTTAGTGGGAACTCAATCGAAAGAAGCTTGCGGTAATAAACTGCCCGGCGATATTGCAGAAAGAGCAGTCGTTACTTTTGAAGCCGTACTGAAATATTGCTATGAATTATTAACGTTAGAACATTCACCAGGATTACCATCAGATTTATGCTTTAAAGAAACCGACGAAGATCCTATATTCACATTATCCACTACGGATACTTATTGCACAGTCCTTTTCAATGACGAGACACATACTTTTGAACAAGTTATAAATACATTAACACGTGTCTTGAAGTGTTCTCAAAGGGATGCTGTCGAATATGTGACGAATGTCGATAGAGAAGGTAGATCAGTTGTTAAGTGTTCAAGATTTCAACATTGCAAGGAGCTGAGAGGTGAAATAGAAAGATTTACGTCGAGAAACAGCACTCGGCCTTTAAAAGTTCTTGTTGTTCATGCTCACGTTATTGCTCATCAAACCTTTGCTATGAAATTGTTGAATTGGTTACAACAATTTATAAGTGTATGTGAAGGTTTTAGAATACTTTTTAGCAATGTCGCTCTTAACACTAAATTACCAGAGATATCAATTGTCGAAGGTATACTTATGAGAGATTCGCAACTATGGAAATCTGCTAGAACAGCTTGGCACAGATTGTTTATATCTGGAATGCTTATGGAGTATGAGAGTAAAAAAGCTTTGGCTATTGTATTCACTTATAATTATGGTTCGGTCATGAAAGATTTCATTAGAGATGATCACGATCATTCTTTTTCAATAGTTTCTTTGTCCGTACAATTATTTACGGTTCCCACTTTAGCTCATCATCTTATAGCGCATAACGATGTATTATTTATTTTGTTGAATACATTCATTTCAGAAAGTTCACGTAGGTGCAATGCCGCGGGTAAATTAGAATTTGAAAGAAACACACCGAATACAACATTTAAAAGAGCTCAATATATACTTTACGATTTAAGATATTTACTCAGCGCCAAACCGGACGTTTGGACTGACGAATTAAGACGAGGATTTTTGCAAGGAATTTCATTATTGTTAAAATTATTTAGCAGTATGCAATGTATGGATTCAGTATTAAGACAAGTTGGACAACATATGGAATATGAGCCCGAATGGGAATCTGCATTTAATTTGCATATTAAACTTGCACCAGTTATTAGTTTAGCTCTTGAATGGTGTGGCTCTGATAAAATTGTTTTAATTAAAGCTTTTAGAGCAACATTGAAAAAACTCGCTGAACAACCAAGTATTGAATCTGCAGTAACTCAAGTAAGAGAGCTGGCAGATCACAGTGCTACATGTTTGCAATACGATGTTTCTTCTGAACCAGTATCTATACATCTTCCATTGTCAAGATTTTTAGCAGGATTGTTTCTTTATCTCGAAGAGCACAATTTGGATTTTCAATCTCCTGAATTTATAAATGAACCAAGACCAACACCTGAACAAATTATCGAACCTGTATTAACAGCACAAGCTATGATATCACAAGTACATGCCGGAATGTGGAGAAGAAATGGATATTCGTTGTTGAATCAATTGTATTTTTATCACAATGTTAAGTGTCGCAGCGAGATGTTAGATAGAGATATTATTTTATTACAAGTCGGGGCGTCTCTTATTGAGAGCAATGAATTTCTTATTCATATTTTGAACAAATATAATCTTCTTAATTGGGCAGATCCAAATTTTGAAATAAATGCATTAAAAAATCCAGAAGAAGATAGCATCAGACAAACAATTAATTTAGTTGAGGAATTTCTTAATTTGCTTATAATCATTATAGGAGAGAGATATGTACCTGGAGTTGGACAAGTTACTGCTGATGATCGTTTAAAAAAAGAAATAATACAACAATTATGTATAAAACCTCTTTCTCATTCTGAATTAAATAAGACTTTACCGGATGATGCTCATCTTGAAACGGGCATGGAAAGAGTTATTAACGATGTAGCAGATTTTAAGAAATCTCCAAATACATCTGCTGGCAAAGGAGTATACGAATTATTGAAACCTCATTTATATTCGGAATACAATGTGTTCTTTTATCACTACACAAAGGAAGAATTTAGTAGATCTGAAGAAGCCCAAAGAAAACGGAGGAAAGATCTTGGCGAATTAGAATGTTGTCCACCACCAAAACTCCCTAAATTAACGGAGAAATTTAGTTTAGTTGCAAATTTATTGCAATGTGACGTAATGCTTCATATTATGCAGACTGTATTACAACGTGCTCTAACATTTATAGCTAGAAGTTTTTCCGAATCGCAAGTCCACAAAGTACTTCACCTTATAGGATATGCGCTTCAAGAACAGGAATCGGGTTATTATCCTTTTCTTGTGTTCACAGAAAGAGCTGTTAAATGGAACATTTATAAATTACTTGAAGATTTACAAAATAGTCCACGTATAGAGGCACATAAAGATTTACTCACTTGGGTTCTTAACAAATATAGAGAAGTGACTGGTTCTAGCATGGCAGAATCTGCTTCTACTACAGTAACTAGTACAGAAAATGTCAATAGTGATGCAGAGTCTAATGAAAAAAATGGTAAAGAATGGAGAATGAAGATGGCAGCTATAAAACGTGCCAAAATAATGACACAAATGGCAGCAATGCAAAAGCTTTTTATGAAAAATAATGCTAAGCTATTTGAAAATGCAACATCAGATGGGAATAAGGGTGAACAAGGATCAGCTATGGATTTATCAGAATGTTCCGAAAGTTCAGAAGTTGCTGGTGGAAATAATCAAGCGAATAGTAGTAATTTAACAGAAGAAAAAACCTATACATGCATTTTATGCCAAGAAGATCAAGCTGTAACGGCAACCGGTCCAGCGATGGTATACGCTGCTTTTGTTCAACAAT